GAACTTCTTTGCGGATGCATGCAAAAACTACACTTCAAAACGGCTGTTGACCTAGTACACTAACTTAGGGAGAATAACACCGACTGCCAGCATACTCCTGAGTAGGCGGACGAACCATTTGGCGGACACAGTGTGTAGGGGGGGGGGAATAACAGTGGATTAGAGAAAATTCTGGGCAATTTGATCCAAATCATAATTGTGTTCACAGAAAAGAACCGTCGATATTTAACGGTACGTGCCAGAGGAAGAAATAACAAGACCCTACGGCGACCATTACATCGGGGGTAATAAAGATGTTTCAAAGTAGTAAGTTGGTTAAAAGCACGATTATTTGAAGTCTTAAACGGTAAAAGTAGTCCCTTTTGTAACCGAGGAAACTAGAGGGGATCAAGGCCTGTAAGCCCGCAACATTCTTGGCAGGTCAAGTACCGGCGCTTCGAGGTTAAAACTCCTTTGGTGAGAAAATCCTGGACAGATTCTATTTCTTACGCTCAGCAACACGCATGAGGCTTAATAAAAACGAACTGTATCACAGGCCAGGTCTGACGTACATTTCATAAAGACGCACTCGAATATCACCAGTTTTAACATTTCGGAGAACAAATGCGATCGTCCTGAGTGCTTGGGGACGATCAGTGCGTAGTGTTCGAAAGATGAAGACTCTTGGAGTATGATTTACCCAGATCCTTAATAATTTTAGGCCCGTTTATGTTGTGAGCGTCAATACTTGGTTGGGATTGCTGGTCATCCTCAACTACCATAACTGAGTATTTATGCCGAGAATGAGAAGGGCGCCATGTGCGGCACCACTGCAGATCGCTGTTTAGGAGTTCGAGCACGACGTCAAGATCTGCCACCTTATGTCTTTAAGTAACTTTCAGATCATAGGCATACATGAAGGGTCTGCCATTCCGAAAAACATCTGGCACATAATTGGCAAAAGGGCAAAATAATAGCAGGCCAAGTACACTACCCTGAATGAATACACTTCATAGGCATGTGGGTTTGGAAATACCTTTGGAAATTTTAACCGTTGTGTGCTAGCGCCCAGGTAATAGGATATAAAATCCAGAAGTTTATCACCCTAGTCCGAAAGAGGACAGTTTTCAAAGAAGAAAGGCATGATCAACAAGATCAATAGTCCTAGTTAAATCAAAATAGGCTGTGTAAGAAAAACTATTGTCTCTAGACTGGAGAGCACGATCTCAGAAAGAGAGCTGAAAGGTGTCACAAGACCAAGCATTGAGGAATCCATGATGAGCAGCATTCAGTAAATTATTCTCTGCTAAGTTACATACAACTTATCCATTTTGACCCAACTGTGAAAAAATCGGTGCCTCGTTGGGATTCGAACCCACGACAGCAAGTGGAGGCTTTAGTACAGCCAACGACTTAACAGCCTGAGCTACGAGGCCCCACCGGACGACGCAAGTTCAATCACACCTCTGAGTTACGTGAGCCTGGTAGCCATCTGGTAAATTCTAGATGTATTACTTAGAATATCCTGCTTGGGGAGTCAGTTTACTGTATCAGATTTGGTGAATTCCAGACGCTGTAGTAGGCTGGGCGTGTAGACTTGACCCGAATGTGATTAAACTCGTGTCGTCCGGTGGGGTCTCGTAGCTCAGATGGTTGGAGCGTTTACTGTACTCAAGCCTTGCACTTGCTGTCGTGGGTTCGAATCCCACAGGGGCACCGCGTTTTTCACAGTTGGGCAAAGTGTCTTATTTGAAATCTACCAAAACACCTCTGGAATGCAACTTATCCTTGATTAACGTCTCCAAGATTTTCAAAACTCGTGGAAGAGTGTTTATTGGCCAAAACTCATCAAATCGTCAAGATTTGCCGTGCTAAGCGGATAGGCTAAATGTGTGATCTCTTCCACAAAGTGGGATATGTCTAGCTTTTGAGATTGCGATTAAATATCATGTACAGGGGGTGCGCTAAGACCTAATTTGCGTCTGATTCGCCTCCAGTCAGAGTGTTGCGACACTGGTGTCATACCGAGATGATGAAATTGGAGTAGAAGACCGTGAAAAGTCAAGGGGAGAAAGTGCTGAGAATATTAAATGGAATGACTGGTCGTTTGAAAAGACGTCTTCTGGTTAATGCGTCTGTCAAAACAAGGGTCCTGCGTAAGGGCAATTGGGCCAACACAAAAATCGACACAAAATTGGACCTGGTTGTGGAAACTCACAAGGTCTCCTGAATAAAGTTGATTAATTTAAGATCATTGTGGCCGAAAGTTGTCCCGATATTATTTGTGCTTAGACGAGGATTTGTGCAGATTAATAAGAAACTGTTCGGAAAAGTCTGCGAGGCATTCGGTCCGTCTCACTTGGAGCATCCCGTCCAGCCCTGACATATGTGGTTTCAGATGGATTGTCAACAGCTGGGACGAATGCAGGCGACGGCTACAAAGACAGACAAGTACTTCGGTTATCTGCCTTATGAAGCCAGATCGGTTGGACTTAGTTTGTTTTCTCTCAGTTACGGGCAACTGTGCAATGACCTAATCCAAGCCTACCGGACTGTCAGAGACCTTGAGTATGCCTTAGGGTATGATAACTGTTTCGAGCTGGATGGGACGAAAGGTGAGCGTTGTCATCAGCTTAGTCTACAGAGGACGTTTGTCCATACATACGGCTGACGAGACGCCTCTCTGAAGTCGATCGTTGGAGCATGGAACGGACTCTCTGGCACACTGGCCTTTTCAGAAACCGCTGAAACTCTAAATGTAAACTAGATACTTATATGCTACGAAACTAGTGTACATGCAATCAAGATTGTCAGTAGTGGCAGCTTGTGCCTTGCTCACACATACCGATGACTTTGCAATCTGCAGAAGCACTTCTGTGCAATTGATTCTACAGTTATTTTCCGATATAAATGGGGAACTCAAGTGTGAATGCCGTCTTCCCTTAAGAAAGGGACTTGAAGTGACCTCAAGATAAAAACCGATTGTTGACAAGTGCTAATTAGAATCCGAACCCGAAGGGGAGATACTGCAGTCTTTCTATACATAAGTTGTGAGAAGGAATGAAGTCCTATTGCGAAATATGCAAATTCTCATTACCTGGGGATGCTGAAGTGCCTTTTTATGGTTATTAAATGTAAAACTGTTACTGTTACTCTTGAATATATGCCTCCAAAGCAACCTCTAGACGAAGAACAAGCGCTGGTCATTTTACTTCGTGGAACCTGCTATTGTGGGAAGTCTCAATGCTCCGCGGGTTAAGTGGGATCTTATGACAGTTAGTGGCCATAGGCAAAGATTCAACGAAATAAAATTTGCATGGTGGTTTATAAGTTACTTTTTCAAAACGTCTGAGCAGTCACACGAATGCGTGAAGGTCAGAGAGCTAGTTATCTGGAATGAGGAAAGTTTTGATGAAATGACTGTAAGTCCCCTCCAATATTAGGACCATCACTTGTAACTAAAAAAATGTTCTTCTTAATGCCCCTAGGAGTACTTTCATTGTAAGTAAAAATAACTTTTCGAAGGAGTTTTAGAACAAGTATGCAGAGAATATGCAGTGTTCAGCTCATGCTTATAAAACAGACAGGTTGATATGAAATCGGTTAGCAAACAGTGAAAAATAACTCTTTTCTTTTTTCTAAAAAGGCAAAATGAATGTGGTTTGATTTGTTTTTAAGAAGAAAAAACTGTCGTTCGCAGAAAGGCAGATATGCGGGTCAGACGGGACCGTCCTGCGTGTGGTAGAGTATAAGGGTTATAAATGGTCATCGGCAAAGTAGAATTCCTAGACCGGATAAGACTATTCGCCGCAGATGCGGTCATAATACTTTGGGCTGACAACAGTAGCTACCATCGAAGTGGCAATACGAGAGGAACTCAAAATCGATCGGTCACAGGCTACCTGGAGTCCAGCCGAGGAGGGACCATTTCAGGCTGCGCTGATAATCAAAGTGCGCAAAGATGCGACCGTGACACTTTTTTGCTGGTCGACTAAACTACTTGAAGATGGCGAAAACGGAGGAATCCGCCATGCTCATCAGCAGATCGCTTGGGAGATAACATCAAAAACGGTGAAAATCATCACTGAAGGGAAAGACTCATGACAGTGAATTTAACAGTCAATTAAAGACAGGGGTTCGTGAAAATCCAAGTGAGATTATCCATTTTGTCGGGTGAAACATGTACTATTTGCCATCAAATCCCAGAGGGATCCTTTTCAAAGTCCAGAATGGGGGAGTCAAAAGCGACTTTATGCTTTCCGGTGTAAGGTGTTTCTGTTTTTTCGATTTGAATGCCGATAATTTAGACGATGACCTAAGTTCGAGTGAAAGAAGATACCGAAGGAGGGCATACTTAAATGTAAAAAAGACGGTGCGTTTTGATGTAGAACAAAGAGACATTGGAATCACCATGGAGGAGTTGCGCGTGGCATCAGACCGATTTCTGGTGCCGCGTATCCGGCTCGGGCCGTCAGGACATCATGCCACAAACGCGTGACAAGCGAACGACCAAGGTCATGGCCTCCTGTTAACACCTTCTTTGAGCTGATTGGCCACCCATCAGCCTATGACAGTCCCCCTTGTCGTATACCCGGCCGTTCTCACAAGCCTCCTCACTTGTGCTGTCTAGCGTACTCAGTACACGTCCTATTTCCAATTACCCTTCTGTTTTGCATACATAACATTGGCGACGCAGCCTAACGAACATGTCTTCATTGCTGCCTACACCGTTACCTTTCTGGCCAAAGAACACCCAGAAGCCCTCAAATGACTCGTAGTTGCAATGGAGGAAGACATTTGAGGATTTTATTGAACTGCTCCCGATTTTGTCACCCACGATTGTACTAGACGTCCCATCTAAGTTGAAACTCCTCCGGACGAATCTCGGAGAGCTGGGACAACGATATTTCGATGCCCTCAATCTACAACAGGCTATAGATCTCCATACAGCCTTCTCAAAACTCGAGTCAGCGTGGGGAGGAAAAGACAACGTATTTCTCAGTCGCTATCGGTTTTGTCAAATGCGTCAAGAATCCAATCAATGTGTCAGTGATTTTATTACTAATCTGACTCTGGCCATCCAGGACTGTGGGTATAAAGAGATCAAGGCAGACAACTTCGAGCACGCAATGCTCGTTCAGCAGTTGATCGTCGGTCTGCGCGATGAAAAAGCTCGGGAAAATCTCTTATCAGAGAAGAAGGATTCGTCATGGGAGAAAGCCTGTGATATCGCCAATCATCAGGGGCGCGTGCGGCAAAACCTTCAGCAGCTGAATCAGTCAAACGATGGAGTGATAGCATCCTTGGAATCGGAAATGGCTGTCTCCCTAGTCAACACTGCTGTGTCTTCACCTAGACAGCGACCCTCAGCTCCCTCAAAACAACTACCATCCTGCTACCGTTGTGGTCAGCATCATATCTGGTGGTCAGACTGTAGACACCAGAAGACGGTATGCCAGTTTTGCAAGAAAGTCGGCCACATCGAACGAGTGTGTTTCTACAAAAGTCGAGCGAATACTAACACGCATGCAACCTACCCTAATCCAGCTGGGGATGGCGAGACGATACTCCGAATGTTTTCGGCCAACGCGCCACTCCAATCGCCCTACACCATCACGCTTCCGGTTGATCACCATCCCGTGAAGTTTGAAATCGACACTGGCTCAGCTGTTACTCTCATCAATGAGGCCTCCCTGCAGAAATTACCCTCCCCCCTTCCGGCTAACTCAACATTCCGTAGTTACACTGGACAGAACGTAGACGTTCGAGGGGTCTTTACAGCCGAAGTCGAGCATGATGGAGAACTTCATTACTTGCCGGTTCATGTGGGAAGAGGAAGCCAGCAACCAAATCTCCTTGGACGGAATTGGATTAACTGCGTGCCTTCTGTGCTATCCTATGTACATCGGATTGGTGTAAATCCGGCTTTGGATTTAATTTTGGTAAATCATAAGGATCTATTTCGTGACGATTCTGCTACCCACTACCGCGGTCCACATGTTAAGTTCCAGTTTCAGTCAGATTTCCGCCCCGGTTCTTCAAAGCTCGTACAGTCCCCTATGCAGTCGCACCGAAGGTCGAAGAAGAGCTGGATCGCCTACAGAAAGCGTATATTATTGAGCCTGTGCAATATTCGGAATGAGCAGCCCCAATAGTTCCTGTTCTTAAATCCGATGGTTCTGTGCGAATCTGTGGCGACTACAAGCTGGCAATCAACTCAGCAACTAAACTGAACCCTTATCCTCTCCTGCGCATCGAGGATCTGTACGCATCTCTCTCGGGTGGTCATCAGTTTTCAACTTTGGACCTAAAGCATGCCTACAACCAAGTCGTCCTAGATACTTAATCCCGAGACGCCACCACCATCAGTACGCATCGGGGTTTATTTCGATATAAAAGACTACCATTTGGAGTAAGTTCGGCTCCCGGTTTATTTCAATGCTTGATTGATAACCTCGTGAAGGATATACCTCACATTTGCGCATATCTTGACGATATATTAGTCACCGGCCCATCTGCAGTTAGTCATTTAGAGACTCTAAACATCGTGTTAGGACGTTTTGAGGACGCAGGTTTTAAACTCAGGAAAGATAAGTGCACTTTCCTTGCCGACTCGGTAGAATACCTGGGCTTCCGGGTGGATAAAACTGGCCTCCATCCACTCGAACATAAGCTCAAAGCCTTGAAGACGGCGCCGCGCCCCAAAAATACTAGTCAATTGCGTTCATTCCTGGGGTTGGTCACCCACTTTAGTCGCTTTATGAATCAATCGGCTACAATTCTAAAGCCTCTTAATCGACTACTTGAAAAGAATCGTTGCTGGCACTGGTCGGAGGTCGAACAAAGTGCTTTTGAACAAGCAAAGGCGGTTCTCACCTCCTCATCTGTCCTAGTTCACTATGACCCCGAAAAGCCTACCATACTGAAATGCGATGCGTCTCCGTACGGCGTAGGTGCGGTCCTCATGCATCGAATGCCTTCTGGCGCGGAGATGCCGATTGCATTTGCATCAAGAACCATGTCACAGGCGGAAACCAACTATTCGCAACTAGATGAAGAGACCTTAGCAATAATGTTTGGCCTACATCGCTTCCACCTGTATCTTTTTGGCCGACCCTTTGAGATTCACACTGATCACAAACCCCTCTTAGGTTTGCTGGGAGAAAAACGAGGGATACAACAGATGTTCTCGCCGAGAATGCAACGATGGGCACTCACTTTGTGTGCTTACACGTATGCAATGAAGTACATTACAGGTAGTGCAAACGTTGTGGCTGACGCATTGAGTAGGTTGCCTATTGTGGACGATGCATTAACGGGGCACCTGTTTTTGAGACGGTGAATATTTTGCGGAACCTAGTCAACTCAACTGTAACCTGTCAACAAATTCGACAGTGGACATCGAGAGACCCTCTCCTAAGTCGGGTATGAAGAGCCTTGCAATCTGGCTGGCCGTCCTCTACGTCCTCTGATTTTCAACCATTCTTCAGCCGTCAGAACGAGTTAAGTCTACAAGACGGATGCATACTATGGGGCAATCGTGTAGTTGTGCCACCACAAGGCCGACGGGCCATCCTCAGAGACCTGCATAGTGCTCATCCTGATACAGTTTAAAAAGAAAGCTCTCGCCCGCAGTTATGTTTGGTGACCCAAAATTGACGCAGATATAGAAAACGTGGTGAACGCATGTCACGTGTGCCAAATAACACAGAATACCTTACCGAAGGTTCCTCTGAAGCCTTCGTTCTGGCCCGACTCGCCGTGGAAGAGGGTGCACGTCGATTATTTTGGGCCATTCCAAGGCCATATGGTTTTTGTGGTAGTTGACGCCCACACGAAATGGATAGATGCGATTTCGACAGGAAATTCTTGTTCTTCACTGACTACGATCAACAAGTTGCGAATCGTTTTTTCTACTTTTGGGATACCTGAAATGCTCGTTTCAGACAATGGTCCGGCCTTTACTAGTGCAGAATTCAAAGATTTCATGGAGAAAAATTGAATTAGACATTTAGCTACTGCCCCATACCACGCTGCTTCAAATGGCCTCGCAGAGCGTGTAGTTCGGACAATAAAGCACGGACTAGCCAGACAGACAGAAGCGGACTTGGCCACCAAGTTGTCACGCCTTCTATTCAGCTATCGCATAACACCGAACGACTCAACGGGTGCTTCGCCTGCAGAATTGATGTTCAAGCGGCAGTTGCGCACACGACTCGACCAGCTTAATCCATCAACACAGGATAGGGTCATTGCAAAACAGACGAAGATGAATGAACGATATGATGTGAACACCCGACCACGAGTCGTCGCGCCTAACGAAAGTGTCTACATGCGACTGAAACACGAAACGAACTGGTGTCTAGCGGTAGTTCGAACAAGCGAGGGGGAAATAGTGGAATTAGAGTTAGAAGATGGGAGAATTGTGCGTCGACATCTGGACCAAGTTCGAAGCCGAACGGGCTCAGTAAGTAGAGAATTCGGAAAGTTCGAACTGCCAGCAACCCTTGATAGGGATCCTGACATCCCGAGGACTGAACTCCTACTGCCTGCACAGAGCACTACGCCACCGACCGAGGCGTATGTTCCACCTCCTTCTACCTCGGCCAGCACTAGCTTAGGGGCAGAGGAGCCAGTGACTGCACAAAGCGGCACAGAGGTAGAAAATACCGCCCTAAGAAGGTCGACCCGAATCCGCAAACCTGCCCAACGCTTTCCGGACGAATCTAATTAGAACACTGTCTGACTATCCACTATTACCTTTACTGTTTCCCCCCGCCTCCCCCTCATGCTCTCAACTTTAGGGTGGAGGGATGCCGCGTATCCGGCTCGGGCCGTCAGGACATCATGCCACAAACGCGTGACAAGCGAACGATCAAGGTCATGGCCCCCTGTTCACACCGTCTTTGTGCTGATTGGCCCCCCAATCAGCCTATGACAGTTCCCCTTGCCATATACCCGGCCGTTTCCACAAGCCTCCTCACTTGTGCTGTCTATCGTACTCAGTACACGTCCTATTTTCAATTACCCTTCTGTTTTGCATACATAACATTTGGAATGAATGAGAGTGCCAGTGCGCGAAACGTTAAAGCTAGAGTAAATGTGAAATAGAAATAAAGAGCCACTTTCGAGTCGTGTAATCCATAAAAACTTAATGTTCGCCACCTGACATCTCTCGGTATAAGAAATGCCGGATGCAGCTTGAGAGAAAGGTTTTTGCGTAAAAAAATCGGTGAAAATTTTTGATTTTGTTCCAGCCACAGGTGTTTATTAAACCAAAGAAAGGACAGCAGTACTCAAGGGCGGGGAGAACAAACATTTGATACATTCTGGACAATATTTCCCGAAGGAAAATTATGTGATATGAACTCACACATATGCGCAGCTTTGGCAGAGAATTTGTCTGCATGAGACATGCTTGTTAGCACAACTTTGTTACGACCCAGCCTGGTACAAAGAAATCACACAAAGCATATATGCACTCGACTATTGTCCCCAGTACCAACACAGCAGAGAAGAAGAGCACGATCGGCCACGATAAAGTGCATTATAAACCCGCCAGCCATTGTCGCTGAAAGGCTGTGTGTATTTATAGCGTCCCGTTCAGTTTGACTAATATTCTGTCTGATCAGCTTCAAAAGAAAGTTCTGGAAGAGCTGAGCGGCTTATCGCAGACATGGACCAATCAGATTCTACAGGAACGCTGTAGTCACAGCCGACGCGAGACGCCATCAAGCGCACGTTCATGACATACGACGTGATGGGCGCGAGCGCGCGTGCTTTTCTGTGAGATCGATTCCTCGTAGGAATAAGGACATTCCCAACAACTTAAGACTTTGGTCCTTTGTGGTGAAGCATTCTGAGAACGGACTAACTATGAAAAATTATGAGACCAGGAGGCTTGGTACGGTCAAATGACGTGAAACTACACTTAGACGAGGAAGACTCCATCTGCCGTGGTGAACTCCATTTCCATAAGCGTAGTATATCAGCATTAACTTTCCCGACACAAACACTTGCAAACCCATTTGATGTCATCAGCACAAACAAAGGTTCGCAAAGTTCTGATTTCTTTCGAAATATCACTAATGTGAAGAGGGAAGAGTAGCGGACCTAGAAGGGTGCCTTGAAATTTACCACTAGTGATCGAGTGAGGTGTCGAGTACTTACCACCAACCACGATTTCCTCGTAGCGGTTGGATATATAGGGTCCGGCGAAGTCAACTGAAGGAGGTCGGATGAAATCGTGGTCAACCAAAATGCTGCATGTTTCTCCACAGATCTTCTCGATTCTCCGCGACCAGGGCTTTGTCGGATCCACGAAGACGATGTAAGAGTGGGTCCGCATCTCCTGGCACTTCTCCTATAGCTGGTAAGCGGTAAAGATCATATCGCTGGTTGTCCAATGTCGCCGGAATCCAAACTGGCTTCCCAGCAAAAGTCCTTGATCTAGGTGGCTGCTGAGACGATTGAGGAGGATGGGGACGAAGATCAGCCCGGCGAGGTTTAGAGACGAGATGTCCATGTGATTTTCACAGAGTTGCTGGTTCCCTTTACGCTCATATAGAAAGAAAATGGGTACGTCCCTGAAATCCTGAGAAGCTTGACCGCTGCGCCGTATCACATGAAATAGCGCCGTCAGTTGCTACATCAGTCGACGGTCGCAGTGTCCGTGAATTTTGGTTGGGATCGCATCGGAACCAGGTACTTTCCTGCTGTATAGTCTTTGCGCGGCGCTGATGGTTTCTGGGGAAGGGGGCGGACGATACAAATCGATGCTGGCTTCCACTTGTGGGAGCCAAACGACAGCGGCGTCGGAGGTTGTGGAGGGAATGTTGAGGAAGCTTCTGAAGTGCTCGGCCCAACGATTCAGAATCTGCGGCTTCCCGCCAGTTATATAACGCAGCTAGGTCGTAGGCCTTAGGATTAATAATGGGCAAGAAGTGACCGCTTTTGTCTTGAAAACCCGAATGGATAGAAAAAATAAGTGCAGGAGTTCTTATCCGATCCTATTTGTCATTGAAATTTTCGTGACTTTCACACCGCACTCTCAAAGTCCATTCGATATTGGAGCACTTCCTTTTGACCGGTAGCTGGAATAGTAGTATGTCCGTCCAGCTTACAAATTATGGGTTCATGAGCTACATGCATGCTC